AAATCGGGAAATTTGTGAAAGTTCTGTAAGTCGCCATGTTATCGCAAACCCCTGGCCTCACCACGGGCGAGAGTGTCCGTGCAAATTGTCATAGTCCCTGTGATGTACGAGCGAATACAGTGCAGGTTGCGCAGCAGACATTTCACCACAGAAATGTCCCAACATGATCTGCACCCAGAATTAACAAGCAGTATTTGGTCGGCAAAACCGTCTCCAAGTCGAGAGCGATATTTCTAATGGATTAAAAGAGATGCATTCACAAGCCTGCTGGTTTACAAATGTTTGGTTGCCTCATTCTAAGCCACCAAAAAAAAAAAAAACAGCACTGCGATACCTGGAAATTGTCTCTTTTGGGACGTAAATTGAAGGTTTTTACAAGTTACTGTGTACATTTCACTTTCACTCTGGTTTAAAATGCACTCATCAATGCCGATTCTTTCTAACCCTGGAATTAAAGATAGCTCTGCAGTTCCCCTTTAATGCAGTGCAAAACAGAGCGCAAGAGCCGAGTCACAGGACCATACAGAGCAGACGGTTATAAACCAATTTGTGCGCCGATTGGACATGCATGGCCATGAAGCCTGATGCACAACGATCCACTGGGCATCTGACTGCATTGCTAATGCCTACAAAGCTGGCAGATCAGGGACGAGAGACTGCGGGTCGGCACTTTCTCAAGAACCTCACTTCACCACAACAGAAAGTGAAACTCTTACCTTGGTGAAATTCCACTTAATGTTACTGCGAAGAAAGAAGAAGAAAAAATGTTCACAAGAAGCATGCAAGGCGCTGTTAATCTCATATCAGTTTACTTTATTACCAGTCAGCTGCAAATTGGGCCGAGATTATAGTGTGTGGCACCTTAGAGTCTCATGTCATATCATAATAAGATTAGCACTGGATGTAGAACAAGCTCCAGATGTTTAAACCGTTCAAAGTAATCCTTTATTAATGGCATAGCACCTCTGCAGCTTCCTAAATTTACACACTGGAGCAGCATTTCGGAGGAACACTAGAGTTGGATCATATTTGTCTACAAAATAAGGAAGAAAGGAGGCGTCGGACAGTGATCGTGGGCTGGAAATGAAGAGGCAGTAAAAGGACTTCGGAGATGGAATGATGGGATAGACACCTGTGCCGTACTCCCCTCTAATAGGTCAAGTCCAATACCAGTGCGTCAAGAAATGCACTGGGGAACTCCTCGCATTATGAAGTGAGGCCACTCAAGTCCTGCAGGGCCATAGAGGAGTTTGGTTTAGGTGCGTTAAAGACCCTCGTCCCCCCCCCCCAACTGCTCGAGCCGTCCGAATCGGCTGGACAGCTCCCCGGCCTCCGGCCTCCCAGAGGAAGTCAGCCTGCGCCCTTTCCCCGACTCACTTTCCCAGCGTCCCCTTCCCCTTGGGCTGCTCCTTCATCCACTTCCAGAGTGGGTCCGCGCCCTCCCCGTTCACGTCGATCTTGCTGAACAGGTCGAACCCGGCCTTGTAGGACTTCGCAAACTCCTTGATGTCAGCCTCCGTCCCCGGCTCCTGGAAGAAGGGTGGAATGCTATCCGTTAGGCCGTGCATATCTGCTCCCAGCGTCCCCGGTGAGTCATGAACATCCCACTCCCCCTTTGCATTTGTTCCTTTACAGCTCAAAACATGACGGATGAGGCTATTTATCCTCGATCAACCATCTGCTGGATGAGCTACCAGGTGCATCTCAACTACAACTCATCCCAGGGTCAATCCGAGCTTCACCTGTTTTCCGAACTGGTTGCAGGGGAAGCCCAGGATCCGTAAACCCTTCTCAGCATACTCGTCGTGCATCCGCGCAAGCTGAGTGTAGTTTACGGGCGTCTTGCCTCACTTGGAGGCCACGTTGGTGATGATGCAGACCTTGTCCCTGCAGAGCAGAGCAAACCGCAGCGTCAGACAGGGGGGGAGCAGAGGGGAGCCGCACGCCGCACCAGCGCGGCAAACCCAGAAACGTACTGGACTGGAATAAAGAATTGAGCTATGGGCAGGGCTCAAGAACCACCTTGCCACTGGCAGATTTCCTCGGTGTGCAATGGGGTTTATGCTTTTGTTAGGTTCTGTGCACGCTTAAGAAGAGCAGCAGGCTGCTGTTGAGTGGAGTTAAGAGCAGAGAGAGTACAATATGTGCCATTTCAGGACCCCTGGAAAGTGGGAAACAGTCTGTGTCAAACATACTGCTGTATTATGCATGGTGATCTTTCAGTTGAGCCGAAATATTATACTCAAGAATTTCTCTCCTAAACGTGACACTAATAGGAAGGATGTGCCAAGGTATAAAAAGTACCTTGTGTTGCTCATGGTCAGAGCACAGCATTCCAAGTCCCTGGTTTTGCTCTCCAGGAAAAGGCCCAGCTGTAATTAAACTTATTCCCACATTTCCCCGAGCTGAGCTGCGGATTCTTGTGTTGCTGCCTCATCAGCTGGAAGGGTGGTGTGTTCCTGAGCCCTGCAGCTGGTGTGAAAGAAGTGGACCCCCCCCACCCCCCAGACAAACCCAACCCACCTGTACTGGTCCAGGGACACCTCCCTGCCATCGATGTCCTTGGCCGTGAACTCGTAAATGGACTTGGCTGCCCTGTAGTCTTCCGCCTGGGCAGACTGAGGAGAGAGCAACACCACAGCTGGTAAACACTGCAGAGTCACCTGCACAAATAGGGGTTTGACAGACACTCGAGTAATGATCAAAAAAGACAAATTAATAGAGCACCAGCGCAGAAGCCAAGACTGCAGAAGCCAGCTCTAATCCATCCTCATCATTGCTGCACAACTACCATTCTAAAGAACCTCAACATATACTGCAGTAAACTGACAATCAACCAAACAGCCAACGAGCCCTTCTTTACGCAACTTGATCAGGACCTTGACCCTGGGATCAGTCAGGATTAGCGCTCGCTCTGCCATCTGGAACTGCTTCAGCTCCACACACAGCCCACAAGTTTAGACGAGCTGATAGCGCTACACATGAAGCTCATAATATCCGACTAGGGACCGAGATGGATCAGCTACTGCACCACTTTGTATTGGCTGCCCAGGTGTGTTAAAAGATACATGTTCAAGACTGACAAATGACAAGCTGGATCTCACAAAAACGTAGCTCTAGTAACAGTTAAAGCAGTAATAACAGTAGAAAAAAAAGTAAAACTGAATCAAGTGCTAAAGATCATAACATGCACATACTGCATCTCCAGTCTGTGTATAAGACGTCTAAAGCTCTTGTATATTATTATGAACCTGAAATTAAAAAATAAGATTCTTTTCTGCAACATTTCCTTTAGAAAAGGCCCAATATGTGCCGTTAACTATCCCAGGACTCCAGGCTGATACAGCATGCACAAGCATTCCTGTTGACATCCCAGACGTGCAGCCCATCACCCCCTTTACACGGAGACAGGGCAAAATCTGCAGAAAAACAAGGTTAGCATTTTGAAATCAAAAGTACCACAATCAAGCACATTACACCTCGTCTGACAGAAAGCAACGGGCCAGAAGCAAGAGCCGTTCAGTCCCAGAGGAAACCCTTTCCCGTGTGGGAGAAAGCACTCCGTCCACGGGAATGCGACACTTTCATCCCAGTCTCTGGTCCGCAGAGCTGCAGTGTCTTACCACACTCTGAAGGAGCACGCAGAGCAGTGCCACCCGTCTCAGGCAAGGCATGACAGTCCTGGATTTACAGCTACTAACACAGCAGTAAATTCGATTAGTCCAAGGAGCCACAGCTGACTCAAAGAAATCCCCAGCTCAACCCGTTTTATTCTGGACCCTGCCCATCCATACAGCTCCGCATTAGTCACCACTTCAAACCGGATTCGCCCAGCTGATAGAGCTGATCAATGTCCTGCACTGTGTGTGGACTAAACCCATGTAACTGCAGAGGATCCAAGCAGTTCAGCGAGCAAAACATAAGAAAAGATACTGTTATCTTCCTGTGCCCATGACAGCCTCAAGATAAACACATTACAAGTCATAAAGCTTGCTGGAACCGAGGACAAAGGTTACAATACATATTTAGGAAGATGTCCCAACACTAAATAACACTGGACAGCGCTGACTTGACAAGACCACACCCACAAACGCACACTGGAGAGCAAGACGTCTCCACGTCTCACATTCGCGTTCTGAGAAAATGGGGGGAAAAAAATCCAATAATGTGAGCACTGAGGAAGCAGACAGGCTCTTGGGGATATTTCGGAATTGGACTAAAGAGTCAAAATGCTTCCTCGCTTCTTCCTGAAAGCCTGTTTCAGCCACAGCTGGCCTCCTGCAGTTGGGCCGGCTTCTCTCAAAAAGTCTACCTATCCAGAACCTGCCTGTGAAATACTCTCGTGCTCACAGTCATGTCCTGTTACCTTAGAACATCCCGTCTCCCTTCTGAGCAGCACAGATGCCCATTCCAAGCCGATCCATCATTATCGATATTGAAACTCCATTGTGTAAGAGATGCTGTGGCACATTCAGCTGTACCACATGGCGTGGCAGAATAAGAAAAGGAAGGGCAGCACAGTGGCGCAGGTTTCAGCAGTGCTGTGTCACACTGCTGGGGCCCTGGGTTCAATTCCTGGGAGTTTGCATGTTCTCCGTGTGTTGACGTGGGTTCCCTCTGGGGGCTCCGATCTCTCGCCACATTTCACACGGAGTGGGAGGTCAACTGACTGGGCCCTGGTGTGAGTGTGTGCGTGTCGGGGTGTGTCCTGCGATGGGCTGGCGTCCTGTCTAGGGGGGTATCTGGACGTCCTGAATTGGATGAAGTGGTTAGAAAAAGTGGTGGATGAATAAGAAAGGTTACAAAAAAAGAGAAGGGCATTCAGCAGATCCAGTTAATCTGGTAATCAGCAGGTAATCGATCCGAGGATCTCTCCCAACTGTTTCCTGAAATTAGCAGGGCATCAGCTTCAACAACATGGCCGGGTAGCATGTCCAACACTCCTACAACCCTTTCTCCCATTTTTAGTTTTCAATGCTCTTCCATCATGATGCATTTCCTTGGCTTGTAGCCGCACTGGTGTCATAACGAACAGCAAATGTTTAGCATTCTGCATCCTGGGTAGTGTTGGGGAAGGATATGGATTGCTCCTTGTTATAAAAAGTATTTTCATAGGATCTCATGCTAGACATACTGGGGCAAAGGTGTAGTTAAGACTCTGGATTCCTGACAAGAGGATTGCAGGTTCAAATCCAACATGAGGGCACAGCTGGCATAGACTTGAGAGAGTCTCAACCTGAATTCCTCTAGTTCATTTTTAATATTAAATCTAAACCAGCTGCAATGCAGTTTATTTGCAGATCCTTTTGTTTAAAAAAAAAGTAATCTCGGTTGTTTGCAAGCGCCACAAACACTAAGCTTTAAAAGTGCAGTCAGAGAATAAAAATGTTTTTTCAGTCTGTCCCTGAAACTTGAGGTTTCTTCCACTCTGTGACACTTCTCAGTTGCCCAAGACCCACACACACACAGTTCTGCAATTACACCAAGCCTACTGCTGCTATTAATACTGAAGGAAAGTTAAGCAAACATGCAATAAGCTTGCAACACAGCTGAAGACTGAAAAATTCCAAGATCGGAGGCTGCCTGCGTGTAACTGAGAAAATTACATCTTCGTGACCCGAGAAAACCAGAGCCTCGCAAACCCCTTTTAAACGTTTCTGGGGTAACGGACGCTTAAACCACTGTCAGATTTCACCGAGTCGTCCACACAAACACACGCTTGAACAAGGGGAACTCGCACCAGCAGGACACGAAAACCAGTTTAGTATCAACCGCAGGGCTAAAACGGTTTCTACCGCCTAACCAAGACACGAGTTCTTACACACTTCATAAGCGTGCCCAGAAAGACAAGGAAGCCAATTATCTTTAAACACATATGTGTGTGTGTGTAACTGGCAACTGCAGGGCAACCTCTGATGTCCGTCTTTAAACGAAAATTTAATTTAATAGGCGTTTCAAAACAGCTTGGCCTTCTTTTGAGACATTTATTCAGTTACTAGAGGGGGTGGGAGTAATAGAACCGTAAATGTAGAGGGGGTTAATTGATGGCAGACTCCAAACACTGACTTTTGCCCCACACACACACGCACACGCACGCTCTCGGCCTGCAGAGAACAGCCGTGGTCAAGCGCGCGACTGAGCTGACGTCAGGGCGAGGGCGCGCGCGCGCTGGCGGAATAAATAAATCAGTTTTCTGAGAGCTATTGACTCTATGCAAATGAAGCGCTTCTCACAATGCTCTCCTGTTCCACTCGTTTGTCAGGGCTAGGAGCAAAGCCCACAGCTCTGATCATGCCATTTGTTTTGCAGCAGTTGGATTAGAATCGAAGAGTCTCTGGGCAGCAAAGCTATTCTGCCTCTCGAGAGCCTGATATTTGAGGCAGGTCTTCATTTGTGCGATTGGTAAGGGCTTGTAAATGAACCAAAGGGCGCACTGAGAAGCAGTAGAAGGAGAAATCACGGGTCACTGTATGCACGCAAGATAGAATGAGTTACAGATCGAATAATCTGTAACTCATTCTGTTACTTGATAGTTAAATCGCACAAAACCGCCTTTCTAATGTAATATAATCGTACTTGTCGCGTTTATTGTCGTTAAATGACGTTTTTAAGTCATGGATTGAGACAGAAAGATCATCAGTCCTAATTAAACTTGATTCATTGCTACAATGACGTATGTTAATAATACAGGTGCGATTTTAAGCAATAAAAAGATTTTTAAGGACAAGGCTCTTCCCGCTTTGTTGTTAAGTTTTTTTGTTTGTTTTTGCTGCCTTGCGGTTTCTAAATCGCACGCAGCATTCATGGTGCATCACCATCCTGCGGATTACACACAACCTACCCAAACAGACTCCCAAGATCTTTACAATCATGAGGCGAGCGACAGAGGTTTCGGCAGAAAACACCAATGAAGGCCCGCTCCACCGTCTGCCTGAAAAGCAGCACAGCAGTAAAGCCCAGTTCTCACAATACTGTCGGCACCTGCTCGGCCAAGTCTGCGATCTGCTCTCGACACCGCAGTTTCCGTCATGTGCAGAATGACGGGGAACCAATAATAAAGGATATTTAGTGCACTGACGTGATTCATGTCTTATAGTATTAGGCGTGTGTATTACCAGAATTATAATAATTAATTAATAATTGTTTACACTTATATAACGCTTTTCAGGACACTCCTCCAAGGCGCTTTATAGGTAATGGGGACACCCCCTCCACCACCGCCGCCAATGTGCAGCATCCACCTGGAAGAATTAGGCTAGTGCGCACCAATATCATTACTTAATAGTTTAACAGTCACGAGTATTGCAAACCCTACAGTGACAGAAAATGACCGTACGAAGCTTCACTGATCTTCTTCAAAAAAGTACTGCTTACTGACTCAGCGTATCTAAAAATATCGACTTCGAAAGCAACGAAGTGTAGGACCAAGCAAAGAGACAGATAATCACACAGGCAATCAGATTACAAACAGAACGCGAATGCCTTACCATAGCTCGTACAATCGCTCTGCTCGCCACCAGTCCGAAACACAGAGACCGTGTAACTATCTGCATCGCCCCACGGAGACTTAACTCTCCCGGCCAGGGCCCGCCCCGGAAAGAAGACGTTGGGGTCTTGGGCTATTTCCGGTTCAAGCAACTGCCTCACTGGGGTGGCCATTTTGGACCTAGTTCCTCTCCAAAGGGACGCGCAGAAACTAGCGCTGTCCCCGAGCCAAAATGGCAGCAGTTCAAAGCGCTTTCCAGGTAATGGGGACTCCCCTCCACCACCACCAATATGCAGCCCCACCTGGATGATGCGACGGCAGCCATAGTGCGCCAGAACACTCACCACACATCAGCTATCAGTGGGGAGAAGAGCAGAGTAATGAAGCCAATTCATAGAGGGGGATTATTAGGAGGCCATGATTGGTAAAGGCCGATGGGAAATTTGGCCAGTACGCCGGGGTAACACCCCTACTCTTTTGGAGAAACACCCTGGGATTTTTAATGACCACAGAGAGTCAGGACCTCGATTTTACGTCTCATCCGAAGGACGGCGCCTGTTTACAGTATAATAATAATAATAATAATAATTGCTTACACTTATATAGCGCTTTTCTGGACACTCCACTCAAAGCGCTTTAAAGGTAATAGGGTCTCCCCTCCACCACCACCGTCACTATACTGGGGCATTAGGACCCACATGAGCCGCAGGGTGAGCGCCCCCAGCTGGCCCCACTAACACCCTAACACCATGTTGAACGATTATTTTAGGTCTTTATTGGACCTTAAAAAAATGGAGAACTCAGTAGTACGTGGAAATAATAGCTAATAGCACCTTTTGGCTCAAATGGGCTTCTAAAATAGGTCATAAGCGATTTACTGATCTAATTGTCAAAAACGTAGTGCTATTATTTAAGAATAATACGATTTAAATATATTCTCAGATAAGTACGAAAGCTGATGGTGAAAATTACAGGCAAATGCTTGGATGCCAGCAAGGGGTCCATTGTGGCGACGGAGCGACGGAAGTCAGCTTGTTTGCGCGAAAGGAGGAAGCGTGTTGGAGGAGAGCGATTGAAGTTTTTTTCTGTTTCTTCTGAAAACAACGTACAATGGATGATGAGGAGGAGACATACAGATTATGGAAAATCAGGAAAACTATCATGCAGGTAAGAATGGAGCGAGTCATTTATTCTTTCCGTAAAAAAAAAAGAAGATAATTTGGGTATGCGCCGGTGTGCGCGTGTAGCTCTTCCGTGGGAAACGTCTAGCCCCTTTCACGATCTCGGAATTGTACCATAAAAAAAAGTTTTTTCAAAGATTTAAAAAAAAAAGGTATTTCTCAGCCCGTGGTGACGGCTGCTGTGTTGATCGCCTTCTAGCTGTGTCATGACCGGGGTTACCTGGTGACCCAGGACGAGCTGGATCAGACCCTGGAGGAGTTCAAGAGCCAGTTCGGGGACAAGCCCAGCGAAGGCCGCCCCCGCCGGACGGACCTCACCGTGCTGGTGGCTCACAACGATGACCCCACTGACCAGATGTTCGTCTTTTTCCCAGGTGGGAGTTCGGAGTGCTTCACACCCACATGTACACATAGTCGCGCCACGTACGTCTAAACCAACGTTTGCCAAGCAGATCATCAGGCAACAGTCAAATATTCTGACATGCAAGTGTTGGCGACATAGCCAACGTTTAGAAACTTCGTGTCCGATCTTAATCACTCTGGGAGCCGTCAGGGTCCATGCCTTGCTGACTTCTCGAGATGGGGAACCAGTTCAGCCCTCTGTGTGCCTGGGAGATGGAACAAACTATGCAGCACATCCTAGGGGATCCACACTCAGTGGAGAACCCCTAGCACAGCTGCACCAGAAGCTATCGCTGGCCCCAGGGACTTTGCATGTGTTCATTAAACTGTCCACAGGACTTGAACTGTAATTGAAACCTCAGCATCTCTGGCATGTATAGGGGGGGGGTCTCAGATCTCGTCCAGTGTTAACTTCAGAAGAGCCTCTTTTTACTTTGAGAATGACCAGGCACATGTGCTCTTTCCACAGAGGAGCCCAAAGTTGGCATCAAGACTATTAAGATGTACTGTCAGCGCATGCAGGAGGAGAACATCACACGAGCAATCATCGTGGTGCAAATGGGCATGACACCCTCTGCCAAACAGGTACAACCCCCCCCCTTAAAAACCCCCCAGTATCGCTCAAACCTCGCAGTTAGCCATGTTCACTTTCACCTGATCCTCAGTTAAACCAACATAACATGTTTAACCTGCTGCAACATTCGCACTGTGAGGTGAGGACATAAGATCCTTTCAAGTCCACATGCAGTTATATATTTAGATCGATAGAGGTTGATATTTTTTAGCAGAATAAGGGATGGAAGTTAATTTAAATTAGCAAGACTTCTCATTCAGTGAACACGCAGAGTTAAGCGGGAGATGAAAACAGCGAACATGAATAAAGTGCAGTAACGTTGTAGAAACTGTAAGCCCAAGGTGACACAAGCTTTGTTTCCAATGAAGGATGACATCGGTGATCTGAGACTTGTACCCATCGTGTGAGTAAAAGAAGCACACAGTGCCCACTAGAGGGGGCAGGGGGGAAGGTTTTGACGGTGGTGTGGTGTTTCAGCTGCATTGTTTCCTGTCCTTCTCCAGTCACTGGTAGACATGGCCCCCAAGTACATCCTGGAGCAGTTTCTCCAGCAGGAGCTGCTCATCAACATCACAGAACACGAGGTGAGGAGAGCTTCAGCGCAGGCATGGCGAGCTGCCCCCAGAGCTGCGGCTGCCCCCACTGCCAACAGCACTGTGGAACTCTGGAACAAGCTACCCAGCCTTATTGTTGAAGCTGTCGCCATGGTTTCTTTCACAAAACAGCTGGACGAGATCCGTCAGTCATTTAGCTACTAAAAACTGTACAGATTAGACCTTGCAGAATGGCCTCCTCTTATTTGTAACTGGAAGAGACTTTGATCTCTATTATTTTTAAAGTAAAAAACGCAAAAAACAAAATTGGCCCCTGACGGGGATAAATGTAGTTATGAACTGGCCGATGCTTTTAGCCAAAGCTGCTTTTGTACCAATTTGTACAGGAGGGTGTTTTACAAGAGCGGTCTGAGTGAAGAATCTTGTGCAAGTCGTATCTTGCACAACTGCAATGCCCCACGTCCTGTGACCCCTAATGTGTTCTTCTAAATATTTCTTTTAGTTTCTGCTGTTTATTATATGCATGCCGTTGTACAGCACTCTGGGTTGCATGAAAAGAACTCCTGAGTAAAATTGCATGAGGTTCAATAAGAGACGCGTATTATTTACAGTTGTGTACCTTTTGGATTATCAAGTGCAGGGAAAAAAAATCATACGTGTTTATATAACGGAACAAAGGAAGTGTAAGAAAACGGGG